CTCATTAAAAGTGACAAAAATGAACTGTTAGATCTGTGAAGGATGATATTGCCTGGCATCTCATTTATTGTATACATTTTGTGGGCCTACTACAGTCAATTTAGGGGGTGAGTGATCTTAATCAAAAACCCATCCAAAGTGCTTTGCACCTGTAGCAGGGTCCTGCTGCATTTGGATTTTTGTTTTGCTACAACCCTGGATGGGCAGATTGGGAGAGACATACAAAGAAGATGGTAGGGATATAATAAAAAGGGAACTTGTGGACAGAAAAAGAGGGGACAAAAATGGTGTCAAGGTGTGAATGGAAGATTAATGCACTTTGAATGGGGACTAGCAGAGGTGTGAAAGGCATGATTGATGTTGAAACCCACAATGTCCTTGCAGCACTCATGCCTTGTTCCTGTCCTTGTGTTCAGTGTCACTGGGCCCTGTTGTAAGGATGTCTGGTCTATACACTGCCATACACTAGTCACACACTTGTTCTTATATATCAAAGCCATCCCCGACAGCGTCTGTTTTTCCATTCTTCTTCCCCCTTTGGATTTTAATCCGTCTTTTCATAAAAACCCCAGCAGTTGGAAGATCAGTAACAAAGAAAGCGTCCTGACTCAGCTTTAAAAGGAAGAAAAAAAAATGACGCAGACATTTCTCTCTTGTCCCAGTCTATGAAATTGGTTGGACATTAGGGATTAGAATCCAGGATCCTTTCAGTTGAATGAAAAAAGTGGGTGTTGGACTGTAGTTTTGTTTGGGTATTGGCAGTTTCTCAGGCAGTTTGGCTCAGAAGAGTTGGCTGCATTAATTCAATTCATTCCATCCACAATGAATGCTTTGTGTGTCAGAAATTTTCCCTTGGTGTTTGAGGGAAAGTGCCATCTTGGATGCTCTGACAAAAAGTAAAAATAGCCTGACTGTAAATTGGTGTCACATTTTTTCCCTTGTTGTAGTTGTAAAAATGTGCTGCAAGCATGGTTGAAATCCAGTGTTAAAAGTTAGAACAGACTATATTACATGTACATGTATTGTATGTATTAATGTCACAGCCAATACTTTTTAGCCTTTTGGATGAGGAATATGAAATGAAGGACCATTGTAGCCATGAGAGAATAGTTCTCATAGGACTGTTACTTATGAGTTAACATAACACCCTTGCATCTGGAATACTTATGTGATTCTGCCATGTATGAGTTTATTTAGTTACATATTTGAAACATATATGTACCTTTAAGCTTCTCTTCTCAATCATACAGTTTACATCTGTGTCACTTGAGAAAAAAATTTGAAATGTGGCTAACTAAATATATACTTTATAACGTGTCGATAAGTAGGGCTTTTCATCCAAAGTCAATTGATAACAATATTACCAGAAATTTCATAATTAATGATTGGGGAATGAGTACTCCTGGAGCAAAATATTCTGGGTTGATGTAGCTCTCTCTCTGAGGTCATGGCTTAGGGTCATCTACATGTAGGCACAAAAGTGGGAACTGAAAATCATTGGATCTCTGTGTAGGAGTTGGGACAATTACAGTCGCCCACTGGGCCGTGCCCATTGAATGGGGTTTGGTATCCAGCATCATAACAGCACACCTCATCCGTGTCATTGGACAAATAGACCCTCCCTGACTAACACTGTTACTGTGAACCAGTCACAATAAGCAATGAAGTGAACAGCATGAGTGGTGAAGTGTTTGCAGCAACACACAGGTAGAAGGGACACTGTATGCTTGAAGCTTCCCAGTCAGTCACATCAAACTTCTGTTTTAAAACATTCCTGTTCTTACTGCTGTTTTAAGACAGTGTCACCCTAAATGTGAAATTCGCTTGGCCAAGTATGCATGGAAGTTGTTTTTAAGTTTGCACCTTTAAAACAGTTTCACTTTAGATATGGTGAAAAGATCACTTGTTATTGTGTGCTTTTGTGATTTTGGGTGTTGGCATTTTATTGAGTTCCTGTTTAAAAGAAGAGGAAAAAATCATACCTCTGCATTGACATATGGAGCTTCTGGGTTCAGGGAAGGTTATACCCTTGTATTATGTACGTGTTTATGGGATATGACAGGCAGCCAAGCAGAGTTGGAAAAGGTCTTCCTCTCCTGAGTCAGTATTTTAAATGCCTAGATTTAAATCATTGGAGTGTTTGACATAATTGAGAATTTAAATAATTGAGCAACCACGCAACATTTAAAGATGTGATTACCAACCGATGTCTGAAATTTTAAACATACCTTCGCTATTGTAAGGCAAATTATTTTATCGGAAAGTTTGACTAACTTCTATATGTTCCTGAATCTGCTGAGCAGAAAATAATTATTCAGAAAATATGTTATAAATGCATTAGAGTATATTTCCAATGCTTCAGAATTCCACCCTCTGTTTTTTTCGCACAAGGTGAGTTTCAACAGGTTTTAAACAGTTAAACAAGACTTCATAAAGAAGTTTAGGTACATCTATACTGTTTTCATTCTCTGAAATTTAATAATTGTGGAGGATATCACATGTTTGAAATAGCAGTATCACATTTTCAAAATCGATTCTTCATATTTATCAACTCTGTTGTATACTTTCAAGTATACATGTGATAGACCTTTTCAAGAACATTTTAGATTTCAAGACATTCAAGCATCACAGCCTCTCATTTCAGCAAAGTATCCCGGACTGATGTTAACTTTTGCAATTTGCCCTTTTCAATGTAAAGTTCGATGACACTTTGTCTGTGCTGCCTCCTGCATGCACATCCCCAAGACCTCGAATAGTCTTTCCATTAACACGCTGGTTCTGTAGTGCCATCAATCACATTTCCTTCTAAATTAACACTGGTCCAGCCAAAAGCCAACTTCTTCCTCAAGAGATTGGGGCCGCATTTTAAGAGGGCCTTGTCTATAAAATCCTTGATTTCTTCTTTTACTGTGGAAATGAAGCTTTTCCTGATAGGATGATTTCCTTTTTAAGAGAAATCTGATGGAGCAAAAGTTTCAAGAGGACCTTTTTGAAAGAGCACTCAAATTAGTGAACTAAAGAAAGAATGAGCATGCTGTATCAGATTCTTTACTCTCAATGCTCACTCATAGCATATAAAAAATATTCCTGTAAAGCCTTAGATCTAATGGGATGGCAGATCCAGGATTAAGGAAAAGGAGAAACTGGTATTTAGAAATGGGACACCCTAAATGAGCAGGTCTCATCTTTTATCATGCTGTTGAACATGTCTATCCTTAAAGTTAATGAAAAACCAGTTCAGAGCCAAAGAAACATAAACATGTGAAAAGTAGGCCTATACCCTATAAAAAGAGCATAAAATAGAGAGGGCACACCAGGTGCATCCCATTTTGGGTCTGCTGCTACCTCAATTGAGACAAAATTCCAGTTTTAATACTACATTGTAAATATTTCTAAAAGTTTTTTTTTATATAAGAAATTCCATTTTTGAAAAATGCCCCAGTCGACTCATGGTTTAATCTAATATTGAAGTGCCTAATAAGTGGCTGGTTGCATAATCCAGTCAGCCAAAATTTTGAACATGTTTTATGCAATAACCAAGCTCTTTACTAACAAGCAAATGAGCATATATTATTTTAAAAAAATCACTGCTTCTGCAATTAAATTATGTTGGGGCACTTATAAGCATGTCAAATTTATGTGTTTGGCTGAGTGAAGTCGAAAGGGGAAAGGGCAGCAAGACAGCCCCAGTCAGAGTGTTGTCCCTGGACCATTTTCTGACAACGAAGACCTTGTTGGACTATAATTTTTAATCAGGAAGCTGCTGAAAACTTGTCTGTTTTCACATTTATTTACTTGTTTGTATAAATTGTGTCCTCCTTTGTTTTATGAGTTGGAACATATGGCAGACTTACACAAGAAGACAAGGTGCACTGGCACCTGTTTGCAATAACAAGTAATATTATTGGTCCAGTGTGGATGCACAGAGGGTCTCCCTCTTGCCAGATGCTCCTGCCAGCTCTGTTTGGCCAACAACAACCGCTGACTGGCAATAATTCAACTCCACATCTCGGCATTCATCCGGATGTCGTAAGTACTGCAACCCCTCAATGCCTGCCATCGTCACCTGGTATCCCACCAAGCCCAGGAGTGCAGTGTCAAGTTTACCACCAGGGATAAATATTTGCAGTCTGTTGCTGAATATTTCTGCCGCCCAGCGTACTGCACAATACAGCTCCGTCAAGTCAGCTGATTTTTGGGGACATTTTGGATGTTTCCGGAAGTACCCCCTCCCATCACGTCTAGATAATCTAATATTGCCCTGGGCCAGGGGCCACAGGTAACGATCTAGTTTCAGAATCCCACTGGGGGTCCCAGTGCAAACAGGTGTCTTTATCACCAGACTTCAGAACCCCTTCCACAAGACCTGTTCGGGAAGGACTTGGGGAAGATATGAGGCCTTAGATTAGACCCCAGTCTCTGTGATATGTCTCCCTGATGATCCAACGAAGGGGATATCTCGGTATTGCAATCCATCCGTGCTGTGGAAGCCAATGTGAAGTCTGACGGCAGTGGCATTTAGCCAGGTAGTTCTCTGAGGAGTCCTGAACAGCTCCAGTCCCCCCCCCCAGACTGATCTGAGCACTTCTAAATCAATCATTCCAGGATGATAGGCAGCAGTTTGTGGCAGGGTGAAAATATTTATAGGCTGAAGCGCAGTTTGGGAGTGGAATTGTGCCGCTTGATCAAAACCAGATTTCAGGTACAAGATCAGTTGAGGAAAGTGGCATTTGCTGAAAATAAATGTGTCTCATATTCCCCTTTTACTTGATCCCCCCCTAAGCTATATGTACATGTAGAATAATGATGTGAAAGTTGCATCCTTTTGAATAGTGTAATAATTGCACAGTTAAATGACGGGAACGTAGTATTGGCTTTTCTATGTCCCTCTTTTTCTGAAAAACCTCATGTCCAGTGTACTGTATTACATCAGTGAACTTTGGAGACAAATATCTGAAGTCAATATAACAAGCAATTTGATATTATTCAAAACTCTCAGGAACAACAACATGAAGGTTGGATAAAATCAATTAATCCAGTTACTCATTCAGAATGAGAGGCTTACATTTGCATTTCTTGAATCCACTCTTAAGAGTAATGTGGCAAATGCTGTTATACCTCAATAAATTTCTTACAACTTGGATTTGCAGTTTCTTCCTTTTTTTCCCCACAGGTCACCCCACTCAATGTTCAATACAGATTAAAAGGTGTGATTCACATTTAGCAATTTCCATTTAATTGGCCAATATTCATGGAGGAATTTCCAGCACCCGTCCATTCTCAATTCTTTTCCCTTTTTGTGCGACATCACCATTGTCCTCTCTGGTAAAGGGGATTGGGGGAAATAAATGCTGATGCTAAATGCAGTGGCTCTATTGCCATTGGCTGTTCAGAAAGATAATATCACAATTTCCAAGCTGGCTCAATGGAGCACTTTGATGTTTTGTCATTATCACTAACAATACTTCATTGTTACCTCTATTTTCCATATTTATCATGATTTCATACTATTCCCTTCCTATCCTGTAAGTCTTACAAAAGAACAAAACATACCCTTATGATGCTGTGATATTTATGGGAATTGTTCTGGTTTCATAAATGTAGTTGTTATGGTCAGGTTAGTTATGAGTCAAACTTATTTTTGACAACTTAACTCTACTTTTTCTAATTAATCCCAAACAGCTTTCTCCAGTAACATTCTTAAATGTCTCTAACATTTCAAGGAAGTTTTTGGTTTTTTTTTAAATGTCCAATTTATCTTGTGGATAGAGGTGTTGCACCAGAGTAAAAGATTGATTTCAGGCAGATTGTAAGGTAGTTGATCTTTATCACCCTTTGGCCCAGACTCATTGAAAAAAAAAAGACTGTTTAGTTTTCAGAATATCCCTAGAGGGATAGAGGCAACATACACACCATGTCCTTGTCATTTAATTCTTTCTAAATTTCAGGCAATATCCTCTGGTGACCAGATTTGAGGGAGACAAGGGGTAGCAATCATAAGAATGAGGGATCTTTTGGGGGACACTTCTTCCAAAGAAATCTCACTTTTAATGGTTATTTTCTTTTTTGTCTATGGACAAACAGCTGCAAGCTGGGAATTTAGGAGTAGCCTTTGTGTCAACTTGATTGGGAAAAAGGTTTATTATTTCCGCAGTTGATTCAAGAACACCAGGGGCTATGGTCCTTTTAATTGAAAGAAGACAATGAAGGCGTGGGGGAGGGGGTTAATGCATTGGGATGACCTGATGTGAACTTTACCAGTGGTAATTTCATCGTGTCATCTGGCCGACAAATAATTTGGTCTGTGAAAAAGGCCCTGTGTTGTTTTTTTGGAAGGGGGAGTTCATACTTTCAAACTCAGTTTTACGTACATGTAAAAGCAAAGAAACACAGCAGAGAGTTGCCTTAAAATGCCTGCAAAAGAGCTGTATAAATAGAATTAAAAGAGCTGCTTTCTCAGTTTTGGTGGCAAAAATGGTGACTTTTGGTGAGTTTGGGTGACAGATGAGAATAACGTAACACCTTACCACTGCCATTTAAAAATGTTATCAAATGGAGTTTTTAGTGAATAAAAAGAGGCAAATGCTATGGCAACATTTATAAAGAATTCCGGAAGGAACAAAAATGTGCTGTAATTCCGTAGTACCATTATTGAGTTATTACAATACACATCTTACTGGTTATTTTTCTCGCTTGGTTGAAACTGTTCACTAATATGGGCTAGTAGCATAGTTTACTAAATAAACTAGTGCATGAAACATGATTCAAGATATTGCAGAGCACAGTGCCTGATTAGACATTATACTGAAATATATGATTATTTACTGCACCCTCTGTAGGTTGTCAAGGTTCATCGTATAATGAAATATGGTGGCATTTGGTGTGGATCATGAACTCCTGTCGAATACCGTGCTTTACCCTACAGAGGAAGAAATCGACAAATTAATTCTTGGGAAAGATTCTAAAAAAGAAAGAAAGATGTAATTAATTACTCCAAACATAAATAACCAGCAAGGGCTGTCTTATAAAACACATATGGACTGGCAGTTTAAAACTACTGCATGTCTATCTCCCCCTTGGCCTGTGATAGATGACCATTTCCTGGCAGGCTGCAGCTTCAGGAAATGGGACTATTTTCTGATCACTGACTTGACATTTTCATGGACATTTTACCTTCAGTCACGGACCTAATTGTTTTACAGATGTGCAGTATTAATCTATTTCTACAGCTGAAATTTCATTCTACACTGGCACTGCTGTGTTCAGCATGTCATGGTACAAGTGCGCGTCATGTGCACCAAGGAAAATCTTATTTCTGCTTGTGAAAGGCAAATTCCGTAGATATGGCTGGAGGGGTGTTTTAAATATATATGATGTACAAAATCATTTGAAAATATTACTTTTGATTCTGATTGGACTTTACTGAATTTGTTTATTTGTTTGATTATTGGGAATGAAGGTGTGAGGGAGCCTGCAAAGCCTGCAGTAAATGGACCCTTAGTGTTGCATTTTCATAGTTACAGGACAAGAACAAGAAATAAAGCAGTACATGTAACTATATAACCCCAGAACTATGCATGTAATTAGTTCTTACTCTTTTAGCGAAAGAGATAGTACCCACCAACATTAGAACTATTTTTTTAAATTTATTTATTTCTGACAATGTTAAGCATTGTGGTAGAGACCATACAGTCCATCTTTAACCACTTCCCGGATAAAATAAACAGAACCAGTAAACGTTAAAAAATACAAAAATGTATACACAATAAAGAATTATTCATTAAGAGAACAAATCAATAAAGAGATAAAATTAACAAAGGAAAGGAAATGAAACAAAAATTGTGATAAAAATGCATTAAATTCAAAAGTTAAAATGAAAAGTGAATAAAGTAATACCAGTAGTTAAAGGAAACGTATTTAAGACATGCCACATTCAAGGATAAACTGTAAAAATATGTAAAGTTTGCATTAGAAAAGGAAAAAAAATCAAACAATTTATCTTTGATATTAGAATTGGAGATGAAACCCCAATTACGTTGCAGTGAAATGTCTTGTACATGTAGCTCTTCATTGACTACTTCCACTCTATTTCTTTGGGCAATGGTTTCATATCTGCAATGAACCACCAAAGAAAGAGTAACTGACGCTGAGGATTTTTCTATGATTGTTTCAGTTGCATGTTCAATTTTACTTACCAGTTCATCAGGGTCTTCATTGACATTGTTGGTCCTGACATGGAGGATTAGTTTGGATGGGTCGAATTTCTCTAGTAGGTTTTGTGCTTGAGGCACAAGGTCATCCGCTTCCAAACCAAGTAGGACATGCTCATAACCTTCTTAGAGTGAGTGAGGTGATGACTTTAGATTTTCTTAGTCATGGAGTCCCCTGTAATGTTGGCACAGGTACATCAACATGGTTTGAGTTCATGCTTCCAGAAGACACCATCGTGCCAGTCGTGCATTTTTTCAAGTGTAGCTGTTGAAAGCCACTGTTGCGGGTCACTGGATATTCATTGTAACTGGTGTCAATGTTATTGTCAGTGGACAATAGGAAAGCAGCATTGCCAGTGGAATCTTTTGTCTTTGTTAGGGCTGCAGTGTCTTCCCACAGTATCTTAATGGCCACGTGCAGATTTCCCTTTTTGGATTGGAGGGATTCCACTTGTGAATGCAAGGCACTGTTCTGGATGATGTATTGTCTGAGACCCAAGACCTCTTAAGCCATGGAGGAATTGTTTCAATTCCCTTACACCTACTTGCAGATCTGGAGAATTATGGGATAAATGAGATTGGGAAGCACTTTCACATAAATCTGGACATGTACATGTGTACATGTACACAACTTGTATTTGTTATTATACAATTATTGCCTTCTATGTTGGGGTCCATAGTGTTTTTGTACACCAGAGGGAAAAATGGCATGAGAGGCAAAACCAAGGGTGCCATTTAACCCTGAAGATTTACAAAACCCACGGGAGTTCACAATAGGTAACAATTGTTTTGTTGTACCACAGTAACAGATTTTATGAATGCAAAGGAACAAAGTGAAATACATGTTGCTGTTCACAATGCATTTCATTCACTGAAACTGTCTTCGCTAACAAAGTGTCAAGTTGAACAAAACTGAATAATCAGTAAGGAGTACCTTGTTTTGTCTTGATATTTCCGAAGAAATCTTTTAGAAAGTTCCTTAATTCTGTCTTGGAAAAATGTGGGTTCTTCCCCATCATCCCTGTATTTGTAGCAATGCAAATTTGGAACCATTGTATTCCCACTTGCGCAGAATGTTCTGTTGTTTTTTTGATGATGCTATCCTGCACAAAAAGAAAATTGCTGATCTCTTTTTTTGAACAAGAGAAGAACCTCATCTTAAAAATGAACTTGCTGTCATCTATCAACATTGTTATGGTGAAATTAACAGCAAAATTGACCCAGTTAGAACATGAATGAATGAACAAAAATGGCGATTGTAGCAGAAATAGTGCTTCAATGTTCCCCACAGCACATACTTGTATATACATATACATGAACAACTAGTACCAGCTTGGCTGTACAACCTCATACCCAAGGTCATGCCAGTAGAGTACCCTTGAAACAGCACCTTCAACCTTGGGAAAGATCAAAGTAATGCACCTGGTGGGAACATTGCTGATATGTTTGTGATCTGGTACATGCATGTTTGTTGAATATTATGCAATCGATTCTTGGTGATTAAAAAGTTGTAATCTGTTACCTCACTATAACAAATATAGCTTGTCCAGTGCTGTCAGTCTGCCAACATTTCTCTGAACAAAAGAAAACAAGGGTAAATGAGTTAGATTTATGTATGTAGTTTAAGCCTACCTTCGATCACCCAAAGCTGTAGTAATCTCAATCAAAAAGTGACAAATAGCTAATTTCCAGAGCCCAGTTCATTTGTCCAGATCAACCATTCAAGTAGATGTTGGTGTGTGCACCAATAAGGCCTGCATGCATGGCCCATTTCCCCCACCCATTTTGTCATTGTTAACGGCAGACAATTAATTAAGGGTGTGTTAGCTGTGTGGAGTGGTTCCCTTGGGCCTGCTTGCCATATGTGTTTGTGCTAAGAGCCACCTACTGTGTTGTAACTTATGCTTGGTTGCCTTAGCTGCTGTTATCTTTCCAGCAAAATGACCAGAAGTCTAATCAAAATTAGAATTTAAGTGCCTGATGCTCACAGTCTTTTCCTCGTTTTTCTTTTCTTCTTTTTTGTATAAATAACAGAGAGTTGTAGCAATTTCACCATTTAGAGTTTCAAGGGGTTACCCATACGATTGTTTAGATAAAGTTGAAAAAGTTATGCCCTAAATTTGTACAAAGAAGTGTGACCAGGATGATTCTACAGCATAATATGAAGACTGCCTTAAATTCCTTGGATTGATTTCTTTGGACAATAGAGAACAGCATCTAAGTTTTTCTTTCTTTACCAAATTGCTTGCTTGCCCATTCCCGCATTTTATGTCAGATGTCACTAGTTTTTTAACTTAGTTGTGGTCATCCTGAGTACTTTTTTTTTCACCATGTTCTCCCCAGAGTGGAGAGTCTTTCTTAAACTGGTCTCTCAGCTTGATCTAGATGCTAGAAATTGCCCTTTCATTAAACTTGTTTATGTTATGTAATCTACATGATCACATTAGATCCTAGCTGTGTTAGATTTTGAGGGCTTATGGACTGTATTGCTGCATCTGTGCTCCTTAGTTTACTTCTCAGATATGTGTCTCAGTTTTTATTTCATCTGTGTTTGTGTCCATGTTTTTGTGTTATGGTCTCTTTTGTTCCCTTCAGTTTGCTTTGTTCAGTTTGTGTTTTATTTTGTCATTTTGCTATTCATCTTGTCTTTTTCTCTCATGCTTTCCTCTTGGTCGTCGTGTGGGCAGTTGTTATTTCTTTTGTTTTCCTCGTCTTGTTCTTTCTTTTCTCTTTTTACTTGTCTTCTTTTGCCTTCTATTGGCTCGCTGTGTCTGCATTTGTTTTCATTATGTACATGTATTCTGGTTTTGTCTTTAATTTCGTTCTTTTTTCTTTCTACACTATCTGGCATCTTGTCTGAGGCAGCTTTCAGATTTTGTTATTTTGTCTTGTCCAATGCTGATATGTCCTGCTTGTCCTGTATTTCTATGTGTCTTATTGTATTTTTTTTTTCACTGCATGTGAGCCGTTATCTATATTGGTCTGGTTTTACTTATATTTCATATTCACTGATTTTTTTGCCATTTGATGTTTATTGATGAGAATTATTTCATGTTTCATGTATGAATGATTTTCATTGTTGGTAGGGATCTTGGTGTACACATCACTTTGATGTCAGCCCATGCTCAACCTTTTTGTAATGTTTCATATGAAATCTCCAAATATTTAAATTAAAATTAAGAAAAATGCTTATTTAACCAAAAATTGGGAGTTCTGCTGCTTTGCAGGCTCTTGCAAATTTGGGAAAGAAAACAAATTTGTATTATGTTCTTAATTTTAGAGGGATTACTTTCAAAACAAAATGAGTAAATCCTCAGTTCCCCTGGGTAGAGAACAGCCAATCAAAACAAGCCCTTTCCTAGGTCTGTACTTTGAGAACTGTGTACTTCACACAGTCAACCTGAATGGTAGCCTGGCTGGGGGCCTGTCCCCACCGCTGTCATCATGCAGCCGAGTGGAAAAGATATATGTTACATTATTACACACCACAAACTGGCTTGGGGCTGCTACAGCTGGGCGACTCCCACAATACTCCCGGCTCCGTCTGTCTTTTTCCACTCTTGATATTTTTTCTTCTTTCATACTCCATGATACATGTATGTGACCACCAGCAAATGGCAGAAGTCAAACACGAACTGTGTTAATCATGACTTCATGTGTTCTTTCCCCTTTATCAGTTCTTAATCTGACAACAGTATTTTTCTGGCCTCTCCTTCATTTCCATTATTAAACAGAAGCTGAATTTGTTGCCTTGTTGGTGTTTCATCACAGTCTTATTGTGTTGTGCACACTGTACAGTATTGAAGAGAATTAATTTTTCACATTTTGATGCGAGAAAAGGGGCATTATGTTCGGTTGGCTGGGTCTTATTCCAGTTTCTTGCCGACAAAATATTGAGGGAGACCAGTTTTGATTAAGTGACTGATATAATGGCACTTCAGGCATTTGTTTGCAATTTTTCAGGATCGTTATGCTCTTTGCTCAAAGATGCTCATACAGTGGTTAAGTCTTCATTAAAGACAACAGTGTGATAGTTACTGATAACACTTGTCAGAGTTGCTAACGCAGAGCTGAGTCTGAGTTCTGAAATCGGAGCTCAGTTAATGTACACTTATGATAGTGATTGGAATAATGAATTTCTTAGATTGAGAACCCCGAAGTGATTGGATGCGAGGATGATAACATTTCTACTCATCCTTGGAAGCAGATCTTAAACCACCTTCCTCAACCTTTGTTTATTGCAAACCCAAGTGTTTCCTTCTGTTCATTTCATGCTCTGTGATTGGAGAGTTAAGTGGAAGTTCAAGCCCCCTGCACCCCCTTTGAAATTTTGAAATCTAAATAATGTAAATTGTACAAGCCACAGTTCATTTGCTTTCATGCTTTCAGTGCCCTCTTTGAAAGTGTCTGCACTCCTGGATGCTCCCTCAGAAATTGCACCCTAATTATATTATGAAGTGGAAGTTTTGTTCAATAGATTATCAAATCACTTGGAACTTGCCCAGAAGCTCATTTTTGTATATGTTGTTTTACTTCTGAATTCTTGCCTTGTCATTTAAGCTGTTGAAAAATCTGCCTTTGTCAGAAAGGATGGCCTTGGTATCTGATCAAATTGAACGCTTCAAAAAGAGTCTGTCCTTAGATGAATTAACCTCAACTTTACAGGTTATTAAAAATGAATGATTGGTCTTGGGTCAGCATCTTCCGTTATTAGTAGGCGCTGTGTGTCCCTGTTCACCAGTCCTCCCTGTTTACCTTTGTATGGTATTAGTATTAAAGAGAGAGAGCATTAACGAAATCAATGATGAACTCCAGACTATTGAGCGAGCGTTCTATTGATCCTTGAAAGATACATACATGTACATCGGCAATGGGGCTTGAAAAAGTGCATGCCACTACGAGTGTCTGTGAAGGATTCCAGTGGGACCCATTGTGCTTCTCACCAGTTTTTAATTAAAGAGCCCCCCTCATTAAAATTTCAGGTTCTGCTGTGTCTCATGGTGTATGCATGTATGACTTTGTAAGTTGCCACCTGCAATTTTGGGCATTTTTTTATTTCGGAGTGTGGTTGTTTGCAGCTGAAACTCAATAGTGCACAGGATCTTGTGCCTGGCTGGATTTGAGCTTCATAACCTACAAATGTAGTGGAGTGAAAGGATCAAAGATTAAAATTGAGCAGATGACACAAGGTGGTAATATAGAAATGTTTTTCTGAGGAATTTGACTGGAGATAAAAACATTTTCATGGTATATATTCCCCCCATTTGCTAGCTTATTCACTTAATTTCATTACTCTTATGGCTGAAATTTCAAATTCAAATAAAAATAATAGTTATCCATAATATGCACTGTGGAGAAAGTCATCCATTAAAGTAGACTAGCTAATCAGTTGAAATACAATGAAATACGAATAGCTAATATTAACTATTTTTCCCAGTTTTAATATCTCACTCAGTATCCTTGTATTCCAGATGTAGGAAGGTAGAATTACTGATGATTGAGGGAAGATGACAAGATTTATGATGTTTTGGTTCAACATTTTTGTTGAAGTTACTAGAGGAGGGAGTCATAAATTCTTTGACTCTGAGTTTGTTCACTGCCTCTGGGCTGATGCATGCATTGTCAGATAGTTTGCAACAATCCAAGTAGGCCTAAAACTGAAAGCACTGTTGCAATCATGGCAGTTTACACAAGTCCAAGAACGTTAAGTCAAGATGAAGAATTTGTGCAAAATTACACAGAAAGAAAGAGTATTCGGATTGGAAATCATTTTCGCCTGAGTGCACATGATACATTTTTCTTATGAGGTTGAATTAAGTTCCTGTTGGAACTTCATTTGAAGGTCTTAAAAGGCTGTGTACAACTGGCAAAGAGAACTTAAGTACTTTTAACCACTAAATGATTTTTATTACGGACAGCCTAAAATCAAAAATTCTAAGCACCTTTTTCTGTTGTAGGCCTATCTGTAGCTCAAGTTCATCGGTGGTGGAATACAATACAAATTGTTTTTGGGTTGCTCAAACTGAAAAAGTCAACCACATGTGCCCTTACTGACTCAAAATCATACTTCCTGGAAGGCAACATCAGTTTTGTGTGTACCTTTTCTGTCAAAGGCAAAGATCATTGTCAGCTTTCAAAGCCCAGGTGATCTTAAAGATACTTGCTAAGAACAACCAAGCCAGTGTTTATTCCCATTCAGAGCTACTTTTTGTTTAGAATTCAGCAATATTCTCTAAATATTTGTGTGTAAACTATGCCGCTTTGCCTCTGTCAAATGACTCGTTTCTGAGTTTATTACCGTACTCTACATTATTAGATGATTTAAAATATGCAAGCTGGGCCATTGAGCGCAGCAGACAAAATTGATCGTTAATGTTATTGGCGATCCAGAGGGTCATTCAGCAAGGACAAGGAAGCACAGTTTGAAATTGTTTAACCCCTGAATATTGAATTTCTCTGTAACACCCCCACCCTTTAACCCATCTGTGTAAGGGCGAAACTCATTAAATAATAAACATCTCCCAATGCAAAGTGCATCTTTGGAAATAGTTTGCAATGCCTGTTGTTACATCTGAATGGGACCGTCTAGCTGATCCTTGCTCGCTTGGTGGTGGAGTAATTATGACGTATACAGTAGTAGCAGGATCTCGTGGGTTTGAGTCCCACCCGAGTAAACTTACAGTGAGCATACAGTGTCATGAATATATGCTGGTGTGAGGGCAAAACCTGTTATTAAAATATAAATAACGTCTGCCCAAGGCAAAGCACAT